CCACTGTCGATCAATACGCGATTTCCGAGATAACGAACTAGTTAGGCACTGACGGCGCGTGTACGCCGCATAGTGATAGGGTAAGGCGCTTGGATCGGGGGTGGTGAGTGAGGTGAGGTAGAGAGGGTGAGGTGAGATGGAGAGGGTGAGGTGGTGTGAGGTAATGTGAGGTAATGTGAGGTGGGGTGGGGTGAGGTGAGGTGAGGGTGAGGTGGTGTGAGGTAATGTGAGGTGGGGTGAGGCTGAGGTGAAGTGAGGTGAGGTGAGGTGAGGTGAGGTGAGGTGAGGTGAGGTGAGGTGAGGTGAGGTGAGGTAGAGAGGGTGAGGTGAGATGGAGAGGGTGAGGTGAGGTGGTGTGAGGTGGGGTGGGGTGAGGCTTGAGGTGAAGTGAGGTAGAGAGGGATGAGGTGAGGTGAGGTAGAGATGAGGTGAAGTAAGGTAAGGTGCACTAGGGTGTTTCTGTATCCCACGCCGTGGTTTAAAATGTATGTACGTCACGTTAATTAGCACTACCAAGGCTTTGGATAATTGGTTCTTACATGTCTTGTATATGCGGCCGGAAAAAAAACCTTAAGACCATTGTTATCGACATTCCTGTAAATGTTCATTGATAAGGTTGAGCTAGCACGTAATCTCACCTGCATTGTTCTGTCTCATCGTATAGTAGCGCTGCGGTTGGTATGCGCTGGCGTAGTTAGCGCGAAAGCTCAGGCTTGTGCCCAGCCACATTGCTTGGTGTGCAATATGTGTGCGCGCGTGCGTCCGTGCGTGCGTGCGTGCGTGCGTGCGTGCGTGTGTGTGTGTGTGTGTGTGCGCGTGCGTGTGTGTGTGTGTGTGGGCGTGCGAGCGCGCGCTCGCACGAGTGTATGTACTTTTTGTGCGTGCATGCCTGTGTGCGTGCGTGCAGTCATCCGGTTTGTTCCGGTACCGTAGGGCGGGCCCGCAGCGAACGTGCACAGTGAGCGCATAGTGCAAAGTTATCATTCACATCACGTCGCATCCATGCGCTCTCATCTCCCATGTCACGGTTCGATTATTATTATTATTTATTTATATGCAGTTCTTCTAAACCCTCTGCATGAATCGCTCTAGGCTTCAGCTCATATCACTGTAGGTACTTGAGAGACCGAATGCTTTGGTCACTTTGTATTGCCATGGTCACTTTGCGTTGCCGTGGTCACTTTGTGTTGCCGTGGTCACTTTGTTTTGTTGCCATGGTCATGTTGTGTTGATGTGGTCATTTGTGTTGATGTGGTCACTTGCGTTGATGTGGTCACTTTGTGCTGCCGTGGTCACTTTGTGTTGATGTGGTCACTTGTGGTGACCTCAACTACCTCTACTACTCTCCTACCCTCAGACTCTCCTTCCCCTCCTTCACCCTCTCCTACCCTTCCCTACCTTCTTCTACCCTCTCTTTTTCTCCCTTACCCTCCTTCCCTCCCTCACCCTCTCCTTCTCTTCCCTCCCCCACGCACGTACCTCATACACAGAGCACGGTGTGGGTGGGTGGCTTGC